AATCGAAATCGAAGTGATATGAACTCAGATCTAAATCAAAATCGAAGTGATATAAACTCAGATTTGAATTGCAATATGAAATCGAAGTGATTTGAACTCAGAATTTTAAAAATTCGAGATTATGAATCTTCGATTTCGAGATCTGAATCCTGAGATGAACTTCGAAATCACTCTGATGAATCACTTCGATTTCGAGAGAGAACTTCAATTTCTGAGCATTCCATTGATAAGCAACTTCAATTTCTGAGGGTTTAGACAGCGGGGAGAGAGAGAGCTTATTGTTGAGTGCATCGATTCAATTTGGAGTTGAGATTCTCAGATTGGAAAAGGAAGCGCGTGAGACAACATGCATTTGAAGGCGTAAAAAAAACGCCTCCTATTCATAAAACGGCGCCGTTTCAAGTAAAAAAAAACAAAGAAGTTTATAAAACGCCGTAAAATATTAAAAATAGTGACGTTTTAAAAAACGCCGTTAAAAAAAAACGCCACCTAAACCCTTATTTCCTGTAGTGTAAGCTAACCTCTGGTGACAAATACCCTGGGTGTCCCTGCTATTCTGGTTGTGACTGAGGCTTCGTTTTGAAGTAGCCTGGCAAGGCCAAAGTCGCCTAGATGTGCATTGTACTCTGAATCCAACATGACATTGTTGGGCTTCACATCTCTATGTACAACAGGGTTGCCACACCTCTTCATGTAGATAAACTAATGCTGATGCTAATCCCAGTAATACCTTGTACCTGGTTGCCAATCAAGGAAGGTGTCGTCCTTGCCGATGAAGCGGTCAAGGCTGCCATTAGGCATATATTCGTAAACCAGTAGGAGTTGGTCATGGTCATGGCACCAACCTTGGAGTTGTAGTAAGTTTTTGGTGGCTTAGGCGGCTAATAGTGCAGATTTCTGCCAAGTATTCCTTCTCACCTAGATTAGACAGAAAATGGTTTGATACGTGAACACATGATGACAATTTTCAAAGAGCAATGCTATACATAATTTTATTTCAATTAATATCAATAAAATAAAAATAATTATAAATAAAATCTTAACAACAACAATCCAAGTCCTAAAAAAAAAAAGGCTTAGGTTATAGATATATAAACTTTCATCAGGTCAGAGAAAGAAAAGAAAGGTAAACTACCAATAGGTCCTAATAGTTGGACTTAATTTCCATGAAGTCCTATTGAAAATAAGTCTTTAGTAAAATTGTAGCTAAAATAATTTTTTTGTGACAATGTTTTACATACGTTGTTAAAAATTAACAATTAGTGATTTTTTTTTTTTATCATGATTTTTATAAATTGTCGCTAAAACTTACAATTAGTGACTTTTTTTATGAACAAATTTTTTCTATAGAACCTATTAAACAATAAGTGTACTTATTAGGACCTATACGTAAGTACTCTCAGAAAAAATGGGTATATTTTCAGGACAAGTGCTGGCAATAGCTGGTAGTGGTAGCACTGCATTAATCCTAGTGGAGTATGAGTGCAATTAGAATGAATGCAGTGTTGCCAGTATTAATAATCGGGAAATGAAAAGCAAGCAAACCTTGTTTGGATGTGGCATTGATTTTTTTGACAGCAAATAGTGGTGGGGGGTTTCGACATAACCCCTTTGTAAACACTGCCAAAACCGCCAATTCCCAACAGGTTGTCTTTGCTGAAGTTGCGAGTTGCCTTCGAAAGTTTCTTGTAAGAGAAGAGCCGTGGTCCATTTGCTGCTGCTATCATCATTTCAGTGTCTACTTTCCTTGCAAGCCTCTCTTTTCGTATTCTAAGAGCTCTAGCACAAACGGTAAAGCCAATATTGCAAGAAACAACAGCCCAGAAATCACTGGAACAGCCACTTTCACACCCGGGTTGTTTTCCTGGCCCCAGGAATTTGTTTGGCAATTCAATGGATGTGAAGTTCCAAGCTAGAACTTGATGTGTTTCTGATAGAGTACTTGTGTAGAGACCGAAGTGGGCTGGGTCAATTTTTATTGTCAAAATATGACATCAAATTGAATTCGAAATTTGGTGCTAAATAGGAATTAGACTAATCTCCCTCGTGTAATAAACAAATTACAGTTAGCATTACAATTTTGGCTTACACTTTGGCCAATACTGTTAGTCATTTGTTGGTTAGACGAATAAGAAAATATCATGCTGTGTATTAGACTAAAAAATTGATTTTATGCTTTATTATGTTTATGTTCAAATAATGATTTGCATCTAAACGCTAATATTTTTATATTTGAATAATGTATATATTATTGGAAAATAAGAAATAATTAGGTAAATTCATTAGATAAAAGAGAGAGTAATTGTTAATTTGACACCAGAATATATAATATTGGGAAAAAAATAGTTGTACTTAAAAAAAATAATTACTAATACATGCAAAAAATTTATATCCTTAATAATTAAAATTTATCATTAATTTGAATTTTATTTTCAAAAATATTCTCCCTATGACATTTAAAGACAATATATAATATTTAATGACAATGTATAGTAGTAAATTTCACACACTGCCACTAATACCGTTAAAATTGTTGTTATTAGGGATGGCAATGGGGTTAATGGGGTGGATATTAATTTCCTATCCCTATTCCCTATAATAAATTTTCTCCATTCCCCATGGGTACCACTCTCCCCATTTCTTAATTGGTTTGGATTTCCCCAACCCACTTTAATCTCCATTTTTATTTTATTTTTATTTTTATTTTTTATATTTAATGTTAACTACCACTTTTTTTTTTTTTTTTTTTTAAGATTCACAACAAAAGCTAAATATACCTTCAATCTTTTTTCTTTCTTTTTTAATATATTTAATGTTAACAACCTTTTTTTTTTTTTTTTTTTTTTTTAAAAGGTTCACAACAAAAGCTAAAAATATACTTTCAATCTTTTTTCTTTCTTTTTTAATATTTTAATGTTAACAACTTTTCTTTTTTCTTTTTTTTTTCTTTTTTTAGGTTTTAGCTAAATATATCCTTCAATCTTTTTTTCTTTCTTTTTAAATATATTTAATGTTAACAACTTATTTTTTTTTATTTTTTTTATTTTGTTTTAAGGTTGACAATAAAAGCTAAATAATTTATTAATGTGTTTATTTTTTTTAAAATTCAAATATCAAAAAGGTCAAAATACGCATAACGCTTACTAATGTAGTTCCTCTCTCTCTCTCCTATTCTTCCACCTCTACCGGCCTCCGTTCCACTCATGTTCTCTCTTTCTAATTTTTTATTTTTTATTTAAAAACTAAATTATTGATAAAAGAAAAAAAAAATTGACTGAAACAATTTTAAGACCTCACTTTTTTCTTTCTTTTTTTTTTTTTTTTTTGGAGAATATCAAAAAAATCAAAAGTAAAAAATAATTACAAAATGATGAAGATAAAAGTGAATGATATTTAGCTTTTGTTGTGAACCTTAAAAATTAAAAAAAAAAATCAAAAGAAAAAATATTGAATGTATATTTAGCTTTAGTTGTGAATCTTAAAAATTAAAAAAAAAATGGTTGTGAACCTTAAAAATAAAAAATAATAATAAAAAAAAAAAAGATTGGATGTATATTTAGCTTTGATTGTGGATCTTAAAAAAAAAAAAAAGAGTTGGTTGTGAACCTGAAAAAAATAAATAAATAAATAAAAGAAAAAAGATTGAATGTATATTTAGTTTTGGTTGTGAATTTAAAAAAAAAAAACATATGGGGAAATTAGTGGGTATCCATCCCCAACCCATCCCCTGTGAATATTTAAAGAATATCACCTACCCTACCCAATGGATAAGAAAAAA